TTATCCCCCTTTTTTTCTTTTAATGAGACAAAGTCTTGCTCTGTCGCCAGGCTGGTGTGCAGTGGCGCAATCTTGGCTCACTACAATCTCCGCCTCCCGGGTTCAAGCGATTCCCCTGCCTCAGCTTCCCAAGTAGCTGGGAGCCACTATGCCTGGCTAATTTTTTGTATTTTAGTAGAGGTGAGGTTTCACTATGTTGGCCAGGATGGTCTTGATCTCCTGACCTCGTGATCCACCTGCCTGAGCCTCCCAAAGTGCTGGGATTACAGGTGTGAGCCACTGTTCCCGGCCAAATGTATTTATTTATTTATTTGTTTGTTTTTAAGACCGAGTCTTTTTTTTTCTTTTTTTTTTTTTTAATTATTATACTTTAAGTTCTAGGGTACATGTGCACAACATGTAGGTTTGTTACATTAAGACCGAGTCTTGCTCTTTCACCCAGGCTGGGATACAGTGGCATGATCATAGCTCACTGTAGTCTCAAACTCCTGGTCTTAAGTGATCCTCCCACCTCAGCCTCCTGAGTAGTTGGGACTAGAGGTGTGTGCCGCCACGTCCGGCGGGAATACATTATAATTTTTTTTTTTTTTTTTGAGATGGAGTCTCACTCTGTCGCTCAGGCTGGAGTGTAGTGGCGCGCTCTCGGCTCTCTGCAACCTCTGCCCCCCGGGTGCAAGTGTTTCACCTTTTTTTATTTTTATTTTTTGAGATGGAGTTTTGCTCTTGTCACCTAGGCTGGAAGTGGCGCAATCTTGGGTCAGTGCAACCTCCACCTCCTGGGTTCAAGTGATTCTCCTGCCTCAGCCTCCCAAGTAGCTGGAATTACCGGCATGTGCCACCATGCCTGCCTAATTTTTGTATTTTCAGTAGAGACGGGGTTTTACCGCATTGGCCAGGATGGTCTCAAACTCCTGACCTAAGGTGATCCACCTGCCTTGGCCTCCCAAAGTGCTGGGATTACATGTGTGAGCCACCACAGCTGGCGTATTATGAGATTTTCTCCCCCTGTGTCACTGGAACACAAACTGTTTCCAGCCTGTGTGAGCTGCAAGGATTGTTCCTCCTGGTGTAATATAGTTTAGATATTTGTCCCTTCCAAGTCTCATGTTGAAATGTGACCCCCAGTGTTGGAAGTGGGGCCTAGTGGGAGGTGTTTGGGTCATGGGGGCAGATCCCTCATGACTGGCATGGTGCCATCTTTTGGTAATGAGTCAGTTCTTACTCTATTAGTTACCATGAGATCTGATTGTTAAAGAGCCTGGCACCTACTCCTTTCTCTCTTGCTCCCTCTCGTTATGTGACACACCAGTTCCCCTTCCGTCTCTGTCACGATTCATTGCTCCCTGAAGCCCTCACCAGAAGCAGATGCTGGTGCCATGCTTGTGTAGCTTGCAGAACTGTGGCCAAATAAACCTCTCTTCTTTATAAATTACCCACCCTCAGGTATTTCTTTATAGCAATGCAAATGGACTAACACAAGATGGTTATTTCCCTGGCCTTGGGTAGTTGACTTATAACCATCTATTGATAAGTATTCACCTGAAGACTGGAAGGCAATATCTTTAGTCTTTTTCTGTGCAGTTCTTGTCTCCACGCACCTTTCTTCTCTTCAGTGCTCTGCCTTGCAAATTTTAGTTGTTTTGGTCTCCCAGAATTTTCAACTCTGTCTTCTCAACTCAGGGAGACTACTAGGCTCTGTTCACATTCTCTCTCCCTATACTGCATCCTGTAAGTTCTCCAGGCAGAAAGCAGGAAGCTGGGACAGTCATAGTTAGTACTCACCTCATTTCTTCCCTTTTTGTGATCACTGTTCTACACTGTCTTACCAGCTCATTGTTTGTTTGTGGTAGTTTGGATATATCTATTTTTAGATTAGCTCAAGATTTTGACTTAAGTGAAATTGAGCATCACAATTGGCACATAGTAGATAATTCGTAAATGTTCAAATGAAATAAATGGGAGGATTTGGTTAAGAAATTTATTACAGGAGTTATAGGAGTTGCTTAGGCATTGCTCTTTTTTTTTTTTGTTTTGAGACCGAGTTTTGCTCTTGTTGCCTGGGCTGGAGTGCAATGGCGCGGTCTTGGCTCACCATAACCTCCGCCTCCCACGTTCAAGTGATTCTGCTGCCTTGGCCTCCCAAGTAGCTGGGATTACAGGCATGTGCCACCACACCCGGCTTGTTTTGTATTTTTAATAGAGTTGCGTTTTCTCCATGTTGACCAGGTTGTTCTTGAACTCCTGACCTCAGGTGATCTGCCTGCCTTGGCCTCCCAAAGTATTGGGATTACAGGCGTGAGTCACCACAGCCAGCCGCACTGCTCTTTCTTATTGGCTTTCTTATTGTAGGCATTATAATGTCATGTAACTCACAAGTTAAAATATTTTTTTCTTTTTTTGAGATGGAGCCTTGCTCTGTCGCCCAGGCTGGACAGGCGATTCTCCTGCCTCAGCCTCCTGAGTCCTGGGATTACAGGTACATGCCACCACGCCTGGTTAATTTTTGTATTTTTAATAGAGGCGGGGTTACACCATGTTGGTCAGGCTGATCTCGAACTCCTGACCTTGTGATCCACCTGCTTTGGCCTCCTAAAGTGCTGGGATTACAGGCGTGAACCGCTGTGTCCGGCCTAAAATTATTTTCTAAAAAATAGTAACAGGGTCTCACTATGTTGCTCAAGCTGGTTTCAAACTCCTGCGCTCAAGCTCCTGCGCTCAAACTCCTGCCTTGGCTTCCCAAAGTACTGGGATTACAGATGTGAGCCACTGCGCCTGGTCCCAAGTAGTTTTTATTGTATACGTATACTGTGACTGGAAGTTAGGACTGTTTTTAGGAAATACACTGTGAGATTTTGAAGTTTGCTGCATTGTCTTTGTTGTGATCAACGTGAAGTTTTGAACATAGTGGATTTTGATTTAGGGGATGAAAATTCATTTGAGATGATACTGTCAGTTTTCAGAAATAATGAAGTTGTATAGTCTTTTCTGCAATGGAAAGGTGACTTTTACAAAGGCTTAGTTAGAATTTCTGAAGTGATGGTGTGCTAATTATCTGTTGAAATTTACTAATGAAAAATAAAATTTTCAGTCCATGGACAAATAAATAGTATTTTATAGATTAAAAAACTTTGTATTTAATAGAAAATTATCTTTTAAATCCAAAATTCGATTGAAAAATCATAAGCAGAAGTTTTCTGACATAGTTATGGGAAGTGTCTTTGGAAACCATGCTATATATGTTACAGATAATGTGATTAAAGGTTTGTTCTCACTTTTACCAAAATAAAATTAAAAGTAGAAAAAGTTTTCTTTGTCGACTCTTTTATATCTAGTTTGAGTATGATTGAAGCAAAAGTTCATTTAAATGAAAGTGCTCTTAGGAATACTGTTTTGTCCTTTTACAGCCATTTCTTATTTATTTTATTTTATTTTTTTATCTCTTTCATTTTTATTTTTTTTATTGTTTTGAGATGGAGTGTTGCTCTGTCACCCAGGCTGGAGTGCAGTGGTGCAGTCTGGGCTCACTGCAACCTCCACCTCCCAGGATCAAGCGATTCTCTTGCCTCAGCCTTTCAAGTAGCTGGAATTACAGGTGTGCACCACCACGCCTGGCTAATTTTGTAATTTTAGTAGAGATGAGGTTTTACCATGTTGGTCAGGCTGGTCTTGAGCTCCTGGACTCAGCCGATCCCTCTGCTTTGGCCTCCCAAAGTGCTGGTAATACAGCCGTGAGCTACCACATCCAGCCCCCATTTTAAATATCTAAAATTTTTTTTAAAAAGCAACTTTTTTTTTTGGAGACGGAGTCCCACTCTGTCGCCCAGGCTGGAGTGCAATGGCCCGATCTCAGCTCACTGCAAGCTCCGCCTCCCGGGTTCAAGTGATTCTCCTGCCTCAGCCTCCTGAGTAGCTGGTATTACAGGCGCGCACTACTACACCTGGCTAATTTTTGTATTTTTAGTAGAGACGGGGTTTCACCATGTTGGTCATGCTGGTGTTGAACTCCTGACCGCGTGATCCACCTGCTTGGGCCTCCCCAAGTGCTGGGATTACAGGCATGAGCCACTGTGCCCGGCCTTTTTTTTCCCCTTTTTGAGACGGAATCTTGCTGTGTTACCCAGGCTGCAGTGCAGTGGCATGACCTCAACTCACTGCAACCTCTGCCTCCCGGGTACAAGTGATTTTCTTGCTTCAGCTTCCTAAGTAGCTGGGATTACAGGTGTGCACCACCATGCCTGTCTAGTTCTTTTTTATTTTATTTTTTTGAGACGGAGTCTTTCTCTGTCGCCCATGCTGGAGTGCAGTGGTGTGATCTCGGCTCATTGCAAACTTCACCTCCCGGGTTCAAGCGATTCTTCTGCCTCAGCCTCCCGAGTAACTGGGAGTACAGGTGCCCACTACCACGCCCGGCTAATTTTTGTATTATTAGTAGAGACGGGGTTTCGCCATATTGGTCAGGCTGTCTTGAACTCCTGAGTCGTGGTCGGCCTGCCTTGGCCTTCGAAAGTGCTGGGATTACAGGTGTCAGCCACCGCGCAGGCCGCAAAATACTTTAATACATTAGTTTTAAAAATGTGAGTGTGATGGAGGCAATAAGTTACTTTTTAATGCTATGAATGTTAGCCCGAATTTATTTGATAGCTCCAAAATTTGAGGGTTGTGAAGAAGAAAATATTATTTTTTAAACTTCATTTATTTTTAATTATAATTAATAATTGGTTTTTAGTGTTACCTGTCTGAATGGGGAAAACTTCATTCATTTAAATGTGACACGAATGATTTTTTTGTTAATAATTTTCTTCATTTTGGGGTTGTTATTCACATAATGTATTTTCTTAAACCTGTTCATTTTTTAAAATCATGGATTTATTTATTTGTTTATGTAGAGACAGGGCCTTGCTTTGTCGATCAGGCTAGAGTGCAGTGGCATGATCTCGTCTCACTGCAACCTCCACCTCTAGAGCTCAAGTGATCCTCCCACCCCAGGCTCCTGAGTAGCTGGGGCTACAGACACGCACTACCACGCCTGGCTCAATTTTTGTTTTTTTTTGAGACGGAGTCTCGCTCTGTTACCCAGGCTGGAGTGAAATGGCGCGATCTTGGCTCACTGCAAGCTCCGCCTCCCGGGTTCACACCATTCTCCTGCCTCAGCCTCCTGAGTAGCTGGGACTACAGGCGCCTGCCACTAGGCCCGGCTAATTTTTTGTATTTTTAGTAGAGACGGGGTTTCACCGTGTTAGCCAGGATGGTCTCGATCTCCTGATCTCGTGATCTGCCCACCTTGGCCTGCCAAAGTGCTGGGATTACAGGCGTGATGCCCCATGCCCAGCCTGATTTTTGTATTTTTGGTAAAGACTGGATTTTGCAGTTGCCTGGGCTGGATGATGTATTTCTTTAAAAAATAAACATAAAGGGAAAAGCATTCTCATCGTGATAAATAGAGGGTAACCATAAAAATGACAACAGTGAATACAAGACAATGGTAATAAATTTTAGCTCTATTCTCTTGAGTGTATAAGCCTTGGACCCTGAAGCTTGCTGTCTCTGCTGTGACCAGCTTTCTTACTATGATTTGGTGCTGTTTGGTGTCACGTCCAGTTTTTTTTGGGAACACACTCTAAGAAGATACTTACATGAAAAAGAGAAAAAAGGATTTGTGTTTACTCCTACAAAGTCAGAAGGAAAGGGAGAAAGAGTAGGATCTTGAGACATGACATTAGAAGAATGAGATAATGTGGTGCTTTTGGAGAGAAAGAGCTTAAGTGAGATTGAAAGATGGGTCTGAATTTATTTTGGGCAGAGAAGTTTGTGGTCTAGTACCATCTTTCTAGTCATTGATTTGCCTTTTCTATTAGTGTCATATTTCCATTAGTTTTGTTTAGCACTCAAAATAACATTTATTTGAAATGTTCATGTACTTTTTTTTGAATTCACTAGAGGATAGTAGAAAATGAGAAGATTAATGCAGAAAAGTCATCAAAGCAGAAGGTAGATCTCCAGTCTTTGCCAACTCGTGCCTACCTGGATCAGACAGTTGTGCCTATCTTATTACAGGGACTTGCTGTGCTTGCAAAGGAAAGGTAAGATAATTGTGTCCACAAATGGAGTTAGTAAAGAAAGCAAATAGATTCCCCTATATGAAATATCATTAGTTATGTATAGCAACTTTTTTGTGTGATTTATGGATGTTAAAGTTTTTAAGTAAGTACTCAGCCATAATCTCATAATTCAGACATTTAAATTTTTTCCCACCAGTCTTAGATCATATGCATATTTGTAAAGATTTGTGATCATGATATACCTGTAATTTTGAATCTTCTTTTTACTTATTGTGACATAACATTTTTCTATGTCTCTCCATAGTCTTCATGATTATAATTTTTTATTATTATTGTTATTTTGAGACAGAGTCTTACTCTGTTGCCCAGGCTGGAGTACAGTAGTGTGATCTCTGTTCACTGCAACCTGTTCCTCCTGGTTTCGAGTGATTCTTGTGTCTCAGCCTCCTGGGTAGCTGGGACTACAGGTGTGTGCCACTATGCCTGGCTAATTTTTTTATTTTTCATAAAGATGGAGTTTCACCATGTTGGCCAGGCTGGTCTTGAACTCCTAACCTCAAGTGATCTGCCCGCCTCAGCCTCCCAAAGTGCTGGCATTACAGGCATGAACCACTGCGTCTGGCCTATTATTATTATTTTTTGAGATAGAATCTTGCTCTCTGTCCCTGGCTGGAGTGCAGTGGTGCAACCCTGGCTCACTGCAACTTCCACCTCGCGGGATTCAAGCGATTCTCCTACCTCAGTCTCCCGAGTAGCTGGAATTACAGGCACCTGCCACCATGCCTGGCTGGTTATTGTATTTTTAGTAGAGACAGGGTTTGGAGTCTCGCTCTGTCGCCAGGCTGGAGTGCAGTGGCGCGATCTTGGCTCACTGCAAGCTCCGCCTCCCGGGTTCACACCATTCTCCTGCCTCAGCCTCCTGAGTAGCTGGGACTACAGGCGCCTGCCACTAGGCCCGGCTAATTTTTTGTATTTTTAGTAGAGACGGGGTTTCACCGTGTTAGCCAGGATGGTCTCGATCTCCTGATCTCGTGATCTGCCCACCTTGGCCTGCCAAAGTGCTGGGATTACAGGCGTGATGCCCCATGCCCAGCCTGATTTTTGTATTTTTGGTAAAGACTGGATTTTGCAGTTGCCTGGGCTGGATGATGTATTTCTTTAAAAAATAAACATAAAGGGAAAAGCATTCTCATCGTGATAAATAGAGGGTAACCATAAAAATGACAACAGTGAATACAAGACAATGGTAATAAATTTTAGCTCTATTCTCTTGAGTGTATAAGCCTTGGACCCTGAAGCTTGCTGTCTCTGCTGTGACCAGCTTTCTTACTATGATTTGGTGCTGTTTGGTGTCACGTCCAGTTTTTTTTGGGAACACACTCTAAGAAGATACTTACATGAAAAAGAGAAAAAAGGATTTGTGTTTACTCCTACAAAGTCAGAAGGAAAGGGAGAAAGAGTAGGATCTTGAGACATGACATTAGAAGAATGAGATAATGTGGTGCTTTTGGAGAGAAAGAGCTTAAGTGAGATTGAAAGATGGGTCTGAATTTATTTTGGGCAGAGAAGTTTGTGGTCTAGTACCATCTTTCTAGTCATTGATTTGCCTTTTCTATTAGTGTCATATTTCCATTAGTTTTGTTTAGCACTCAAAATAACATTTATTTGAAATGTTCATGTACTTTTTTTTGAATTCACTAGAGGATAGTAGAAAATGAGAAGATTAATGCAGAAAAGTCATCAAAGCAGAAGGTAGATCTCCAGTCTTTGCCAACTCGTGCCTACCTGGATCAGACAGTTGTGCCTATCTTATTACAGGGACTTGCTGTGCTTGCAAAGGAAAGGTAAGATAATTGTGTCCACAAATGGAGTTAGTAAAGAAAGCAAATAGATTCCCCTATATGAAATATCATTAGTTATGTATAGCAACTTTTTTGTGTGATTTATGGATGTTAAAGTTTTTAAGTAAGTACTCAGCCATAATCTCATAATTCAGACATTTAAATTTTTTCCCACCAGTCTTAGATCATATGCATATTTGTAAAGATTTGTGATCATGATATACCTGTAATTTTGAATCTTCTTTTTACTTATTGTGACATAACATTTTTCTATGTCTCTCCATAGTCTTCATGATTATAATTTTTTATTATTATTGTTATTTTGAGACAGAGTCTTACTCTGTTGCCCAGGCTGGAGTACAGTAGTGTGATCTCTGTTCACTGCAACCTGTTCCTCCTGGTTTCGAGTGATTCTTGTGTCTCAGCCTCCTGGGTAGCTGGGACTACAGGTGTGTGCCACTATGCCTGGCTAATTTTTTTATTTTTCATAAAGATGGAGTTTCACCATGTTGGCCAGGCTGGTCTTGAACTCCTAACCTCAAGTGATCTGCCCGCCTCAGCCTCCCAAAGTGCTGGCATTACAGGCATGAACCACTGCGTCTGGCCTATTATTATTATTTTTTGAGATAGAATCTTGCTCTCTGTCCCTGGCTGGAGTGCAGTGGTGCAACCCTGGCTCACTGCAACTTCCACCTCGCGGGATTCAAGCGATTCTCCTACCTCAGTCTCCCGAGTAGCTGGAATTACAGGCACCTGCCACCATGCCTGGCTGGTTATTGTATTTTTAGTAGAGACAGGGTTTGGAGTCTCGCTCTGTCGCCAGGCTGGAGTGCAGTGGCGCGATCTTGGCTCACTGCAACCTCCACCTCATGGGTTCAAGCGATTCTGCCTTAGCTTCCTGAGCAGCTCAGGCACCCAGTACCACGCCTGGTTAGGTTTTATATTTTTAGCAGTGATAGAGTTTCACTGTGTTGGCCAGAATGATCTCGATCTTTTGACCTTGTGATCTGCCCATCTCGGCCTCCCAAAGTGCTGGGATTACAGGAGTGAGCCACTGAGCCTGGCCTTAAATTTTCTTAGTAGTAAGAGTACAATTATTTCTCTTTCTTTAACATATTTTCCCCAGTATTTCTCATCTAAATTCTTTTTTGTGTAAGCAAATCTAATGAGAACATTGGTTTTGCAAGTTAGATTAGTCAACATTTATTAGGTGCATATTCTGTTTTATTCAAAGAATAAAATAAATATTATAATATAAATATTATAATGAACATTATAATAGCAAACTGACATAACTTGATAAAGAACTTGATGGAACTATGTCTCATCTCAGCCAGGTGTGGTGGTGTATGCCTTAACCCGCACTGCTTGGGAGGCCGAGGTGGGAGGATCGCTTGGGCTTGGGCCCAGGAGTTTGAGGCTGCAGTGAGCTGTGATCGCACCACTGCACTCCAGCCTGGGTGACAGAGTGAGACCCTGCCTCAGAAAAAAAAAAAAAAAGGAAATATATCTTTTCTTATAGTAAAAGTGAGTTATTAACTTAGAATAATTTGTTTATATAAAAATTATATGAATGAGCAGTAAATATTTGTTTTTGATGGCTATATTTGTAAATTATTTATTTATGACTATGAGCTATATCTTGGCTGTACTATCAACAATTAAAATATGGGTGTCTTGGCTGGTCTGAAGGTAGTGAGTTAACTCGATTGTTGATAGTCTTACAGATCAAGCTCCTTATTCTACTACTTTTTTTTTTTTTTTTTTTTTTGAGACAGAGTTTTGTACTTGTCACCCAGGGCTGGAATGCAGTGGCATGATCTCGGGTCACTGCAACCTCCACCTCCTGGGTTCAAGCATTTCTCTTGCCTCAGCCTCCTGAGTAGCTGGGATTACAGGTGCCTGTCAGCACACCTAGCTAATTTTTGTATTTTTAGTAGAGATGGGGGTTTCACCATGTTGGCCAGGCTGGTCTCGAACTCCTGACCTCAGGTGATCCACTGCGCCTAGCCTGTTTTTTTTGTTTTTTGTTTTTTTTGAGACAGAGTCTTTGTTGCCCAGGCTCGAATGCAGTGGCACAATCTCAGGTCACTGCAGTCTCTGATTCCCAGTTCAAATGATTTTCCTGCCTCCCGAATAGCTGGGACTGCAGGTGTATGCCACCACACGTGACTAATTTTTGTATTTTCAGTAGAGACGGGGTTTCACCATGTTGGCCAGGCTGGTCTCTAACTCCTGACCCCAGGTGATCTGCCCTCATTGGCCTCCCAAACTGCTGGGATTATAGGCGTGAGCCACCGCGCCTGGCCCTTATTCCCCTATTCTACTCCTTCCCTGCCTTCTCGCTACTGCACTTGACTAGTCTTACAAAAAAAAAAAAAGAAAAGGCAAAAAAGGAAAAAAAAATGGTATCTTTTCTATTTTTTTGTTTTTCCTCTAGGGAAGACTAATATATTAGAAATTTAAAATATTACTGTATTTATTTATTTTTTGAGACAGAGTCTTGCTAGGTTGCCCAGGCTGGAGTGCAGTGGCACAATGTTGGCTCACTGCAACCTCTGCCTCCTGGGTTCAAGCAATTCTTCTGCCTCAGCCTCCAGAGTAGCTAGAACTACCGGCGCCTGCCATCACACCTGGCTAATTTTTGTATTTTTAGTAGAGATGTGGTTTTACCATGTTGATCAGGCTGGTCTGGAACTCCTGACTTCAGGTGATCCACCTGCCTCGGCCTCCCGAAGTGTTGGGATTACAGGCATGAACCATTACGCCTGGCCTCCAAATATTACTTTAAATGCTAGAAAAACATTTGAAGAAATTTTTAAGTTCAAGCTCCTAAATACATTAAAATTTTTTCTTTTATTGTTAATTTTTTTGAGACAGGGTCTCGCTCTGTCATCCAGGCTGAAGTGCAGTGGCGAGATCACCACTCACTGCAGCCTCAGCCTTCTGGGCTTAAGCAGTCCTCTCACCTCCGCCTCCTGAGTAGGTGGGACTACAGGCGTGTGCCACTATGCCAGGATAATTTTTAAGCTTTTTTGAAGAGTTGGGGTCTTACTATCTTGCCCAGGCTTGGAAGTGATCCTCCTTGGACTCCCAAAATCCTGGGATTACAGGCGTGAGCTACTGCACCTGGCCAGTAAATGTATTTTTTGTAAAAAAAAAAAATTTTTTTTTTTTTGACGTGGAGTCTTGTTCTGTTGCCCCAGCTGGAATACAGTGGGGACAATCATGCCTTACTGCAGCCTCAAACTCCCAAGCTCAAGCGATCTTTCCACCTAATGCTCCTGAGTAACTGTGACTACAGGTGTGTGCCACCATGCCTGGCTGATTTTTTGTATTTTCGGTAGAGACAGGGTTTCGTCATGTTGCCCAGGTTGATTCTGAACTCTTGGGCTCAAGCTGTCTGCCCGCCTTGGCCTTCCAAAGTGTGAGGATTATGAGCGTGAGCCACCATGCCCAGCCCAAGTATGTTTTTGTTTCAAGATGGAGTCTTGTTCTGTTGCGGCAGGCTGGAGTGCAGTGGCTTGATCTTGGCTCACTGCAACCTCTGTCTTTGGGGTTCAAGTGATTCTCATGCCTCATCCTCCCTAGTAGCTGGGACTACAGGCATGCACCACAATGCCCGGCTAATTTTTTGTATTTTTAGTGGAGACAGGGTTTCACCATGGTGGCCAGGCTGGTCTCGAACTCCTGACCTTGTGATCTGCCCGCCTTGACCGCCTAAAGTGCCAGGATTACAGGTGTGAGCCACTGCTGTACCCGGCCAAATACATTGTGTGTTTTTTTTTTTTTTTTTTTTTTTGAGACAGAGTCTTGCTCTGTTGCCCAGGCTGGAGCGCAGTGGCGCGATCTCGGCTCACTGCAACCTCCACCTCCCGGGTTCAAGTGATTCTCC